TTGCGATTCGCCGAGCCTCCTGCATTGATTGTAGCGATTGATACTTCCAAGTGCATTTGAGGAAATGTGCTCCAGATTTATTAAAACGCAAAAGAGTTTACACTGTTATGGCAACTCTTTTGACACCAGGAACAAAATAATAGGGTTCTTATCGGCGTTCTTACGGGTTAATGCCGCATTCTGGATAGATGGATGGATGCTAACGGCTGTATCCTTTATAACGGACAATAGCGTGCGCCACCTAGCCTAGAAACTAAAAACCTAAAGTATGATTCCTCCCTTCGCCCTTCTAAGCCAGTATGCTTCCGCTCTGCGATTTTTTCGCTCGTTGGCGGCCGAGCAGGGTTGCCAACTGAAAAATCTAACACTCACAATAAAAATACCGGGAAACCAGTAAAAACCACCGAATTCAAGCTGCAGAGCCTGATTGACCCTTCAACGTAATTTACTGCTAGAATTAGGCTAAAAGCAGTACAATGAAGAAAATAACTTTCAAAACGCGAGCTCATCTCTTTGACCCAGACCGCTTCCATGCACAGAACGATGTCAACTGAATGCAAACGTACACCTCCGTATCGTTCCAATCTTTTGTGCAAAATGTGATAGCCGTCCATAGCTTCGATCACCAGATTCACATGCTTTGCAAAGCGTTTTATATTCCAGTACGGATATCTGACTCATCTGAGTTTGCTTGGAAGTTCCAATAACCAGTCATGGAGTAGAGAGCCTTCATGTGCGCTAAGGCACCCTAGTCTGGAGGTATAAATCTTTTTAGCCTCCGTATTTTTTTTTCTAATTTCTTGCGCATATAATTTATTGGGCCCATTTTATCTGGTACTTAGAAAAATAATCTATTCATTCACGCCCATATCGATTCAAAATATATTTCAATGTTTCCCACCATATTATCTCGAGGGTGTCGCCAATGTTTTCGGGAAAAAAAAAAACATTTTGCTGAGAGTAAGCAAAGATGACGACCCCATTATGACTTACCAGAGAAATTATACCATTCACAATTGACAGATGCAACTTAAAGAACATTTTTGACCACCAGAAGAAAAAAAAAACCGCTAACATGACTTGAACAGTTAAAAACCCCGCCGCCCGCAGAACTGCAATTTCTCCCTTTAGACAACTAAAAAAAAAAAAGACGCTAAATTTAGCGGAACTATCGCTAAATTGGCAATACTACTGTGTGGCGATGATAAGGTACTGTAATCAAAACTCCTCGTTTTTTTTTAATCGACAGTGAATATAAGTGTCTCTAGAAAAGGGATAATGGTGTTCAATTAGAATTTCGGCTGGTCAATATATTATGAAGCAGGTTGACAATGCGCCTTTTTCGTCAATAGATAAGCTAGTTTCTCAATTCAAGTCACTACTTGTAGAAGGCTTTAAACCGAGTTTAGTAATCGCGTCCATTCGAGTTATCTGGTAGCTCTTCGTGTTACGTTTCGCCCAGATTAATGAACGTAGGGCGATGCTTTTGCGGAACACAAGTTCGTCTGCTTCCTGCACAGGGGGCCAGAACGCCGAGCTCTTATTGGCTGATCAAAAAAAAAAAAAATAATGGGTAGACCTCGAGGCATCTAGCATTGAGGTCTACCCACTATCCTTTCATTCAAAACCAATCAGAGCTCGACGTTGTTCTGACGTCACTGCAACCCCTGCACAACGAGCAGACGACTTTCTCTCCACATTATGTCCAAGCTGCTTGTTTCGTGATTCGTTCTTTAGCGTTTGTGTTGGGGCTGATGCTGCCAACTTATTGGCTGCGGAGCGGTAATGAGATGCTCGAAATTCACTATGTTCTGCGATGCTGTCGGTGCCTACCGTATCAACTACACTCATCCCAGCGCAAATACCAAACCGTTTCATTAAGAAAACCTTCAACAATGCTTAGCCATTCTGCTCGTGTTCGCAGACCCTTTAGGAGTATATGGCTGAAAACTCATTTTATCCGATGAGATGAAATGACGGACACAGGTAGTTTTTAGGAAGAGAGTTAAAAAAAGAATGCTCTTTCCTGCATCATAAATTCGCAAAGGCACAAGGTTTTTTTTTTTTTTTTTTTTTTTCAGGTCTGTATAAGATTGCGCAAACTATAGATATTGAGAGAGTGAGAGGAAAAGACAGCTTAATTATGCTCCGTAATCTTCCATGTTTATTTCATTTAATTCTTGATAAAGCGGCTGCAGATCACAATTCGCACGCATTAACCAGCTATATTTTATATAAAGGCCGGATTACTGGGCTACAAACACAAAGTGAAAAAAAAAGTGACATTCGATTTTGTCTAGATGTTCGAGTATTATTATACCTTAGGAGAGCAGCGCGTGCGCTCTCACGTGACGTTATGACTAGCGCACTTCCGTTTTTTGTTATGAATGGCTACAGTGGAGCACCGCTCGCTATTTGAGCATTGGTGATACCACAATATCACGGTACCCTGTCACCGAAAATTATTTTACTGCAGCAACGGCAGCCGTTACCCAGTCGATAATTGACGAAAAGTGGCATTGAATTGGAGCTAACACCCATTCTAATCATCGACCCGGCCCTCTAACCTCCTGTGACTTTTGTCATTGTTTCAACAACAATGTGTTTTATTGGTGGTAAGACTCATTGTAATGGTGATCCTAGCTTCCAGTGACCTTTCTCATTGCGTCTACACAAAAGAGATAATAAGAAATTTATATAGATTTGGTGCGGGTATTCTTAAAACTAAAACAATATGACTACTTCATACCGATGTCGGTCATCTTCGCTCACTTTACAAAGTATGCACATTTGGTACGAGAATGAGAGAACACGCTATCGCAACAAACACCTTTCGGGGAACAAAATTTTAAGCCAACGTATCGTTAATACGGGATTTTAGTTGCTAATGTCTCTCACCTGCCGTTGAGGCGAGCTTTTGGTTTCTAGCAAGGTGACTCTCAGTCGTCTTTAACAAGGTTTCCAGTAGCATGCGATCTAATTTTGTAAAATATATAAAAACCGGATTAGACATAAAATTCAATACCTGTCAGAAAACTGAAAAACAAAAACATTCTAGACGTAAAATTTGTTGAAGGTGACTTATCCTAGCAGAAGACGGAGTGGATATTGATCGTATTTCAGATACTATAATTTTGGGTGATAAGACCGTTTAGTCATCAACTCGTATGGCCCCCCTAAAGGATGTAGTTGCTGGTATTGTAGCGCAGTGTGGGTGTTTCTTTTTTGACGCCACCTTGATCGTAGATCAAATGTGTGGGCTGTATTATGTGACATCTTCATCGAATAAGATATAGAGTTTTCGACGTAATAGAGTAGCCGGAGCGCAGACCAGAATCCACAACTGAGATGCACTGAAGTACGAGGGACAAGAGATTGTTGTAAACCTTGTATGTGGGCGGACATGTGCTGGTGTAAGAATTGCCACGCTGAAATATCGCGTGTACAGTTTGCAGTCTTAGACTTTTGTATTTTTTTATTATTTCGATCGTGTTTTAACCACATTTTGACCGTAAAGGTATCGCATGATACATAAAATGAGTATTTTTGATGGAACCGTAACAAGCATCTTGAGACGCATTTAAGATGGAGCCTACAAACGCTTGCCTCCTGACCTCTGTCTGTCCAATATACTTCGTGTTTACAAATGATCAGGTGGCCATTCACCGCACACCATGGTTCCAGTATCACACTATTGCTTTTTTATAAACACAAAAAACGACTATACTTCATTTCACTTGAAGCAGGGATGGGCAGTATTTCAAATACAAGTATTTGAAATACGTATTTCAAATCCTTTGTGTATTTTGAATTTGTATTTAATTACAAATTGGGTAATGTATTTGACGTGTGCATTTAAATACTAATACGTGGGTATTTCAAATACAATTGTAATTAAATACAATCCAGTGGGTGAAAAATACATGTTTTTATGCATGTGGATGTAAGATATAGTCTCAATCCTTTATTCGGCCATAGGGCTTTTTTTTCTCCTCCGGCTTTATTTTAAAGGCACTGTCCAGAGCAGGAAGAAAACTACGTTCTGCACCGAATGCAGTGTCTCTCAATCAAGCACAAGCGTTTAGTGACTTTGTGATTACGGTGCTAGTCCAGGGCAAGAATAGTGACGAAATCGACGTCCAAAGGCAGACTGGCTAAATAAGTGCCTGTGACAACTTGTGATGCTTTCAAGCCTGACTTCCATCCATATTTTTGCCTGGAACATTCTAAATGTGCGGGTCGTCCAGATTTTCGTAACTGGTGCGAGTTGCAACAATAAAAAAATTATCTAGCTAGTGCTGCGCGTCTTGGTCGTCTAGGTTCTTTGTTGGTCTATACCAGAATGTAATCGACAAAAAAAGCTGCTTGAAGATCTGTACTTTTTTCACCTATTACGTCCAAGCTGATTACATTTTTTTTTTTTTTGTGATTATATTTCTATTACGCTACTAGAGCCTCGCACACTAACTCCCGAGTGTGCGATGCAAAATTAAAATGAGATACCTAGAAACCCGTTGTGCCCTGAAGTCGCTGACGCAAATTTTGAGGAATGTATTTGGAAAAGTATTTGGAGGAGACCAAATACATTTGGTTGTATTTGTATCTTGTATTTAAATACTTTTTTGGAAATGTAATTGAATTTGTAATTAAATACATTTTTGACGAAGTATTTTGTATTTGTATTTCGATACATATTTGCATGTATTTTGCCCATCCCTGACTTGAAGTAGGACCGCAGTCGACGCCATGACATGATGACAACAATCAACCTAGAATCAAAAGTGCATCGTGACTGCGCCCATCGTCTTTTTGCGTTTAAAATCACAGACTAAACCCTCCCCCAACTAGTGCGCCGCAATCTTAGGCTTTTTTTTGTGTGTGTGCCTGGTTTAACCGGTGATACCAAACCAAAAAAGCAAACTATAGCCGGTATGCAAGTGTGACAGTGCTTAATTGCCTCCATCCAATCGTAGCGCCGGATTCAGTTGTACCTAAAGGTGAACAGAGTATAAAACATTTATTCGAAAAACCTATCTGTACAGCAACACGATTACATCTTGTCTTTCAAGAGCGATTCGAGTTCATTCGCGCACGTCGCCGACATCAGCAGCTTCTGGACGAGCAAAGTCAACGGCCGAGCCCCCGGGATGTTCATCCCCCACACCACAAACACCGTGTAGTACACAGCGCCCGCGCCGAACACGGCCGCGATCAGAACGTACTGCATGTACTCGTCCACGTTCACGAGCGGCATGATCACCAGCGACATGGATATCAGGAGCTTGAGGAGTGCGAGGACGGTGGGAGCCCTGTACAGCCTCGGAGCGTCCTTCATCGATGACCTTAGGACGAACAAGCAGAGGACTCCACAGATTTCGTAGACGTTGTACAAGAACGCGCAGCTTTCCACGATGAAACCGACCGAACCGGCGAAGGTGTATGCGAGCGAGAGGATGCCGCGAAGCAAGGTGGCGGCAAGAGGTACCGAAGTCTTGACGGAGACCAGGGAACAGGCTGCTGGAAGATGGCCCTGTCTGGCTGCGGCTAAGATGACTCTCGCGTTGACGAAGGAAGCGGCGAAGAGGGTACCGAAGGCGCAGACGGATACCGCTATGGGGATAACGGTAGCGGCAACGGGTCCCCAAGTCACTGTGGCGAAAGTCACTGCGAGGGCTTCTGTGTTGATGACTGTGGCGGCGTCGAGGACGATGAAGTAAGCGACGTTGGTTAGAACGTAGATCACTGTTACGGTGAGGATGCCGCATAAGAGTGCCCTTGGCAGGTTTCGAGTTGGGTCGGTAATCTCTCCGGCAATGAAGGCGATCTGCGTCCTGCACAGTGGTAAAAAAAGAAACATGAAACCAGGCAGGCATGTGTTATAGTAAAGGCAACCAAGAATGACCAGGCAGCGCAAGCGAAGTGAGAGCCCTCGTTTCTTCTCTAACAGCGCAACTTGGCGAAGGGCGACCGTTACATCCTGCATACCGCTCCGAAGACTGCGCTATGAGCTATGCGTGAGTGCAGCACGCGGCCAGTGAATTAGAGCGACGCAGCGAAACGCACGACGGTTATTCGCGGTTAAAGCATACTCCGGTGGTACACGCTGTCACCTGCCTCACTCCGTTACTTTATTGGCACTGAGCGACCGTAGCTTTCACCGTATTCTCAAGTTACCGGCTTCCAGCCGTTCTCATCCTGCCAAGGAGTATCATGGTATCGCACCAACATTGTTTTTTGTTTTTTTTTATAAACTGCAGAGCCCTGAAATCCGTAGTGAGCGCAGTAAAGACTGCTGGCTCATAACGATAAAGATATGAAGTTTCCATGAATGGATACGTCATACGTCCTAATGGGTGGATACACCAACTCAACACTCTGACGTCGCGGCAGCGTGGTGGCGCTGCTGTCGGTGTGCGTACGCCCACAAGCTTTCCCTCACACGAATCTGGTTCTGCGCAAGCGCAGTGCTCGCAACTGGTGTAGGAAAACCCAGGCTTGTTTGTAAACAACGTGTTAGTGTATTTGCGTGTTTTCAGTGTGATCATGTACAGTTTTACTTCTTACTTATAGTGTTTTTTGTGGAGTCCAATTAATCTAATGACCAATGTGGTTGTTTTAGGGTACTTTCAATAACGATTATTATTATTATTACTACTATTACTACTACTACTACTACTACTACAATTACCATCCTCCGTAGCAGATCACAGCCCCCAGAAATGCCTGTGCCACGTTTCCGGGAAGAATGTCGTCACTGAAGAATGGACCAGATGTAAGGTGGTTCACTGCAAGCAAAAATAAGAAAAAAGCTATATTTACATACAACACTTCACGCACATGAGAGCGGTAATGAGACTGAAATCATTCGACTGTTATATCCGTGGACCATGTGACTACGAGAAAAATATCCGACAACAACACGTAACAGCCCGTTCGTCGCTTCCAACCCTGTTACTTTTTTTGGGCCGCCAACTGCGCGCGCTCCTGTGACAAGGGTGATATGAATATTTTGTTTGTTTTGTATTGATTGCGGCCAGTTAAGGCCATTCCTTTCACCCCCCCCCCCCCCTTCCCCCTAAATATTTGGGTGAACAACAAAACGTTAAACGAATTGGCATCGAACTTGTCTTCTATGTTTGCTGTTTCATAGCGTTTTTGTGATGTGCTCTGGAAAACTGTTGTTGGTCGTTGATTTGCCTCCATACTGATTCAATACATCAATGAACAGCTGAACTAGTAATCAAAACAAGAGGCAAAAAAAAAAAATTTTTTTCCGCGAAGTTTTTGAATTTTTAATGTTGGTCCTAGCGTTTTTTTTTTCAAATTCAAAAGTCTGTACTGGCAACACTGAAAATGTAACTATAGATATTCTAATTGACACAGAACAACTTGTCCTCGACGGCGCACAAGACTTATCCTGGAATAAAATAAATATCGGGTAACTTCGCTGGAGCAGAACGAAAGGAATGTGCGGGATGCTTCGTGTTTTTTTTTCGGACTGCCCACTCAACCGAAGAGTTGTTTTTACAACATAGGACGTCACGCACTGAAATGCGCGGGGAAATTTGAATGCTGGTTTTGGCATCACATTGATTTGCCGTTTTCTCAAAAACTACATTAAGGTACCAATTTGGGCCAGTTGGTTCATGAACACCTAAAAAAGCGCCAAAACACACAAGGACGAGGAAGAAGACAGACGAGAGCGCACTCGCAACTGGTTTTTATTTGTGAAAACAATTATATATATAGTTTCGAACTAACGCATACTCTCTCCTGAGATCTGTTTGACCCCCGTACAAGAAGGAATACTCATTCACCGATAAGGGAAGGGACTATCACTTATGGATGTTTTGCCCTTTGCCTGGATTTCGATGGCTTCATGCAGCTCTCTAGAAACCCTATCCGTTTATCTAGCCAGAAACCTGGTGTCGCCAAATGACGGGCACGTAGGCAACGACTGGAGTGAGTGTCAAGATGTCCCGATGGAGTGTACCACGGGTGTTGTCTACGAAATTCTAACGTCGTGCTGCTCGTCTTATATCGGCCAGGCGGGAAGGTGTTCCATTGATCATGCGATCCCGTGAACACGCCGCGGTGACAAAAGCCACTCCATTGGGAAATCTTGCCTCTCACTGCAGTCGTTGCCTGTTTGCCCCGTCAATCGGCGACACCAGGTTTTTGGCTTGATACTCGGGTAGGGTTTCTAGAGAGCTGCATGACGTCTTTGAAATCCAGGCAAAGTGCAAAAAATGCGTGATGCGTCTCTTTCTTTATCGGCGAATGAGTATTCCTTCTTGTTACGGGGATTGAACAGATCTTAGGAGAGAGTATGTGTTAGTTCGAAGCTATATATATGATTGTTTTCGCAAATAAAAACCAGTTGCGAGTGCGCTTTTGTCTGTTTACTTCTTCGCCTTTGTGCTGTTTTTTTCTTTCTTTTTTTCTTTTTTTTTTTTGGGGGGGGGGGGGGGGGGGTTTAGGTGCACAATAACTAATGTGAATTTAGAGATAATTAATAGCAACTCAGTAAATGTGGAAACCCGGGTGTTCTGAAAATTTAGGTAGTTCGGGATAGCTAAGAAACCGTCGGAGCCAACCGTACTTCTAACAGAAGGGAAGTTTTAGATCTCCTTTCTAATATACTTGTATGCAAACTTGAAAGCCACCCATTACAAGTAACCAAATTACTTGTAATCAGCTACCATTTGTAGTAATTTTGTGATAATTTGAATCTTTTTTTAGTGAGCAATCGCGAAAAATCACTTGTTTGTGTTGCCATTTGCGCCCCCCCCCCCCCCCCCCCCCTTTCCTAATGCTACCCTTTGTTTCAACGAATTTTCTGCCAAGGAATCCTGGAACCAAGTTTCCGACCGGAGGAAGGTCTATCAAAGTAGAAAGTTCTTCCTTCGTTCAGCTGGCATATCCTACAAGTATGAATAAAGGCTCGTTCACACTCTTGCGACCGAGTACGACTGAGGGAGACGAGATCTCTTACAACTTCTTAAATGTTTCTAGAATGAGGGAACACACTGACATTGTGGCGCCATCTATGCGGTGACCCTAGAACTGCATTTCACAAAAGCGAAGGTTTTGCGGGATTTCCGAGGTCAAATGTGCGTAATACCCATAGAAAGGCTCGTTTATAACATTGACAAAAGTTTTTCGAGCCAAAAAAAGAAAGGATATTGCGCGAGAAATAAAAAAAAAATATGCCGGACCGCCGAGTTTACACTGCTTCCCAATAGATGGCGCCAGTGTGTTCTCTGGTTTAAGAAGTTTTAAGGAACCCAGGTTTAAGAGGTCGTAAGCAGTCGCAAGAGTGTGAACGGGCCTTAACCAACCTGCTCAGCTTCAGGCAATCACGAAGTAGAAAGTTTCAGGAAACCGTTTTTGCACATCCAATACGGTACGCTGGGCCTTCTGGTACGAACTGCGCATGCGCCACCACAGACGACTCGCACATGCGCAGTTCGTACCGGAGGGCCCATCGACCGTACCTTATCGGATGTGCAAAAATGGTTCCCCAAAACTTCCTAATAAGTAAACGGAAAAGATGGGTAGCTTCTAGTTCGGTTATTCTAATCCAATAGGATATTGTACGAAAAGACCGTTTTCAAACCGGCAGAAAAAGTTTTCTCGCTGAAAATCTGAAGTAATGTTAACAGTAAAGGTTACTTTTTTGAGTAACGAATGTCTTTTTTTTCTGTCAAGTAATCAAGTAATTTAATATTGAATACATTGTTAACCAAAACTGATTGTAGTTGTCGATTACTCTTTCTAGTAACACCTACAAGACTGCTTGTATGCTGTGTTTATGTTCAAATGATAGGTAATTGTACTTTAAGCTAATGCAGTACAGCAGTTAGTAAGAATTCAATTGCTTTTTTTTTTTTTTTTGCTCCCCAGATTTCGTCTAAGGTGTAGAGCGAATTCCTTGACGAAGGCGAAGACTCGGCAACGTTTCAGTGAGCTTGCTCAGTTTTCTTACCTCTTGTAGCGAAGGCGGCACCCGTTATAATGATGGCGATGAGGACGAGGCACTTGATGACGGACAAGACGTCTTGGACTCTTGCGGATGTCTTCACGGAGAAACAGTTGACGGCTGTGGCGAGCGCTGTAAGTTCAATGATTTCGTATAAGCAAAGAACATCTTAAAGTGTATATGGTTTGAAGCTATCGAGTCATCAGAATGAGCGGAGCACTGCTACTTTTTTTGTTTGTTATTTAAAGCGTGCACGTTAGCATGCCCCAAGATACCTATAGCCAGGTCGAACCGTTTTAAGCGAAGTTTTTAGTACTTTATTCATCGCGTCTTTTGTCCAATAAGCACACATTTAGTTCAGGACTCTTGATGATTTTATCATCCCAAATTTTTGACAAGAACTGCCTTAGGCGTCAATTACCGCTTTCCAAGAAAACGAACATTGTGTTGCTTCATTTTACGTCACGTTTGTTTCTTCGTAACAAACGATGTTCAATACCCCATTCACACGACCGTACATGGCGTGAGTGCGGGCTGATTTGCCGATTGCAAAGGTATCTTTATGTTACAGGTAACCATAGGCTGGTCATGCGAGTGATGTATAAGCGCGAACAGTAAATCAAGATAATTTATTTGTTCTGACTTAATGTCATTTTACAACATGCAGGTCCCAGAAGCCAGTAAAAAAGACTTAAATACTTTCCATATAGTATAGTCGCGATCACGTAACTTGAGGAAGCAGTACCCTGCCAAGGTGCTTCAAACCAATATCCTTATATATCAGCTTATTCCTTTAACAATATCTTCGTTCTTCGAGGTTACCACATGCTCAAAAACAAGAAGAGAGTGACGTGAACGAAATATAAAAGATAAACAATCATTAGCATATAGAGTTCCTGCGTATATACTCTACGTACGGTAGCAGAGTTGGACGTTCATCCTCGGCGGATGGCCTTGGCACCGGCTTTTCTGCACGGCCTTGGATTCTTTGCTCGTTACGCGTCTCGCGTCTGAACTCGGCAAGGAGTAGAAAAAGGCAGAAGCAGAACATACACCGGGGCGCGTGCAACGTCGGCGAAGCGATCGTATTGGTGGCTTTCCTGCACGGCGCTGGATTCTTTGCTCCTCACGTGATTGATCTGGGCGATAGCGGCTTGGCGGCTCGTAGAAAACAAACGCGCAACTCTGCTCTCCCTTGGGGTGACCATATTGAGGAACTCTACTCACATATAAAGGCTAGCGCTACCATGACCGTCACCGAATAAGGCGGGCTGCAGTCGCGGTACACGACGCTGAGCGCATAGTTGGAAAACGTGAGCCCCTGAAGCGCGGCGGTCATCGGATCCAAGATGATGACGAAGCTCCAGGCGTAGAAGAAGGGAAGGATGTCTCCTATTTTTCCAAACGACTTCCCGCACGCGGTCAGGTACGCGTAGTCGCCGCCCGAAGCCGGCAGGAGCGAACCCATTTCCGCGTAGCATAATCCACCTGAAAGAGAAAGCGATGCGAATGCCAATCATTTCATCAGGACCTGCTCGATAAGTCGCTAAAAGCAGCTGACTGTAAGCCTAATGCCAGGATATACCTAATCTGCGTTATCACAAACCCCGGCGTTTGTCGACTATATACACGCTTTAAGCACACGCCAGATTACAGCCGCCATTGCTGACCTTCACTTGTCTTACCAAGATGCCGAGCCACTGAAACGGGTGTTTACGAGACTCCACAGAGGCCATTGCTGGGGAGGCGGACACAGAAAAATCTAATACGGCAGTGCATTGTCCTGTTGTGGTAATCATGAAGTGAAGTACATGGAATAAAAGGAAACAAAAACGGAAGGTCGCGGTTATTGTGGCCCACATGCACAGCTTGTTGAAGCATGTATGTTCATGATGTTTAAACCCTGAGACTGGAAAGAAAACTTGATTATATGTAAGGACAGACAAAATAAAGGTGACTGACGCTTATCTATTACCTTTCTTTTGTCTCTACTATCATGTCTTAGAGTTTCCTTCCCCGTCTCAGGGTTCAAGAACATGACGCATAAGAGGAATCCGCCTCCTTTCCAGTGCTCGCCCGGCTAAAGTGGAAAGAGGTGGGAGGAGCTTCCACTTCTTAACATGTCACCGACTATAGATGTAGGTCACCGAACTGACGACTTGAGTCACAACTCTTTCTTCCTGTGACACCCTCTTGCCTCGTACGGTTTTTACCAAGAGGTGACAGCTCTCAAAACCTGGCGATTCTTGGACATCTTATTATCGCTCTACATACCACGAGGTTACGACACCAGTCGATAAGAACGCCGCGGAGCAAATCACGACACAAGATGCGTGATCATAGGTTCCTAAGCTCGAAGTGACTACACACGGACACACTGCTTGCAAACAAACGCCTTGCAGGGCGTTTGTTTGCAAGCAGTGTGTCCGTTTCTGCGAACGCGCGTTACCTACGCCTGGTGTGAGCAAAGCATGCTTTGCCCACACCAGGCGTAGGTAACGCGCATTCGCAGAAACAAAATTCGCTCGAGATGAAGCGTGTGCGCATGCGCAGTAGGGAGGCTCTAGTGAGGGTAGGCGCAACTGCTAGATTGGGGATCACGGGATATGGACGCCATTTAGTTGCTACATTTTGCTGGGAGTCAACGGGGCAAAGGGTCGTTTTATTTCCTAGCTCAGGTCATAAGAGCCCATTAATGTGCTTATATAATTTACGCAAGGTATCAATGATTGCTTTTCTATAGCCACCAGTTTTGCTCCGATAGGTTAAGCATTCGTGTAACGCAAAAAATGGTAAATTCCGCCATCTTTGACGCTGCTGCTTGTCTGGCAACCCTGCTTTCTCCTTTCGACGTTTGCAATTTCGGGAGCGAGAAGGAAGCGTGAAAGCCTACGCCGAGGCGTTCGTTGCTTGCAATGGGAGGCGAGAGGAGGAAAGGCGCACGGGGCAACAGAATTGTAACAGAGCGGGCGTCTGCTCTCGTGCAGGCAACATTGGCGCATATTCTGACCCAATCCTCTCCCTCAGGCGCCGTTGAATTGCAAGCGCTCTGCAGGATTTGAGTGTCGTCCATTTTCACTATACTCTTTTTCACCTCAACTTGTGCACCGGCGAATTCTCCTCAAAGAGAATTGTATCAGTGCGCCAACCAACCAGAGTGCCGGGTGTCCTCACCCGCACTCCCACTGGGAGGAGTCAGAGTGCATGTTGACAGTTGATTCAGCCAGCGGGTTGCAAGCAGGTTTGTGGCGTGCGTATTCGTAGCGGTCGCTCAGGTCGCTCGCGAAAGAGCGGGAGTCTGTGCTATCAAACCGCACTGGCCGGCATCTCAACAGTTGCAAGGAAATGTGATGCATAGAAAACATGATTTGCAGCTATCGTCGCGCTTCGTCGCCATCGCTTTCAATCGGGCATGCGGACCGCGTTTGCAACTTCGCTGCCGCGCAACATTCGCGCTTTTTATGTTGCCTGGTATGTGACATGCCCTTACGTTACGGTCGCGGTTTTGTTGAAAAAGTTTATATTGTTTGCTTCTTGAACTGGTAGCTTGCGATTTCAGTCTCTCCAGCGTCAAATACCACGCCCGCGAACGGCTCTCTGCTGCACCGCGATAGGCATGCGAGATGTCCGACAGCATTTGGAAATGACTGGTAAAGTGCCAGATTGCTGTAACAGGCGGATTACTCAGCAGATTCTCAAAATAGTGTAAAACGTGTTTTCTGCAGCTGAAGTCGACTGCATCAAAGCCGGGAATGTGGAGTGGTGAGAATTGTGGTCTAATATGAGCAGTTATACAATATTGTTGGTCTAATATGAGCAGTTATAGTAATATAATCAGTCAACAAGAAAACTGCAAGTATATCTACAAGGTTTATTGTTGGTAACAAGGAGCATACCACATTCATAGTAGCTCTGGTTCATGTTCTGTGTTCATTGCAGGCCACTGTCCACAGCTCCTCTAGCCCCTGCTTTTTTGCTGCGATGACATGTAGCATTCGAAGTCGAAAAATTGTATGATCAAATGGTGGATATAGACAGCATTGGTTGTTCTCTTTCCCCCCTCCCCCATGGTAAAACCCCCTAAAACGAACAATTTCGGTATTGTACTGTACTGCCCAAAACAGTTTCCTGTTACAATGCTTGCATTGTTTGTTCCCAGTTCTCTTACCTTCGAGAAAACAGATGCAGCTGTACTACATCTGGGCACTATAACTGACCGCCCCACATCCACTTATTTTAGTACGGAACTATGTCACTTCATTGCAGGTCTAATCCTTTGAATCACTATAAAATAATTCTGGGACAGCACCAGCATGCATTTGTGTATAGCGAATGCACTTGTGGCAGCTTTTGTTTGCAGTGCCACAGCCCTGCATCTTTGCGACTCATAACCTTCTTGACGTTCGTATTTTGTACATCCCTAGGATGAACACAGGACAAACACTAAAAGGCCCTTTCGTGTTTGTCCTGTGTCCTAGGTTTACAATGTGATGTAAGCTCATGAGCCAAAAACTGGTAACACAAGCAAATTCTGTAGACCTGCACTGTTCAATTAGACCTCGGGCACTTCCTGTGTACTCTGCATTCAACGAACTGCATTTCTGGCGTCTTTGGGGCCAGGGGTGTTCTAAAATTGAATTCTGCTGTGCAAGTCTATTCTGTAACCTTTGCTGTACCCTTATTATGCTGTTATATTGTGTACGACAAGTGTGTATGATGTTTGTAATTGGGAGGGGGAGCGGGGGGGAGGGGGGGGCGGCGCCTCGTGAGGCAATTCTGTTTGCCTTTTGTGTCAGCTCTTGGGCAACGACTGTTTGTATGTTGTTGCCTAAATAAAGATTCAATCTAAGAGGAACTAGCAGATGCGTGCACACAAGCCGGTGTAAGCTGAAGACATGCTAAATCCCGCAATATTAGCCTGGGAGACGAGAAGGGAATGGAACGACGTCTTGAACATGGCTCGGTGTTTAATATTTCTGTGCAACATAACGGAGCCGACTCGTCGTGTTGCTGCAACAGTTCTCGAAGTGGCAGGGCTTCAATCAAGATGACGAGAGTTAGTCCACACAGGCAGGCCGCCTTGTTTTCAGAGAACGCTTCACGTAGGCTTCCGAAGCCGCCTCGTCGTGTTGCTGCAGCCGTTCTCGGAGAGGCAGGGTTGCATACCAGATGTCGGGAGTCAGCCCACACAGACAGGCCGCCTTGCTTTCAGAGAAGGCTTCACGTAGGCTTCCGAAGCCGTCTCGTCGTGTTGCTGCAGCCGTTCTCGGAGAGGCAGGGTTGCATACAGATGTCGAGAGTCAGCCCACACAGGCAGGCCGCCTTGTTTTTGGAGAACTCTTCAAGTGGGCCTCCGAAGCCGCCTCGTCGTGTTGCTGCAGCCGTTCTCGGAGAGGCACGGTTGCATACAGATGTCGAGAGTCAGCCCACACAGACAGGCCGCCTTGCTTTCAGAGAAGGCTTCACATAGGCTTCCGAAGCCGCCTCGTCGTGTTGCTGCAGCCGTTCTCGGAGAAGCAGGGTTGCATACCAGATGTCGAGAGTCAGCCCACACAGGCAGGCCGCCTTGCTTTCAGAGAAGGCTTCACGTAGGCTTCCGAAGCCGCCTCGTCGTGTTGCTGCAGCCGCTCTCGGAGAGGCAGGGTTGCATACCGGATGTCGAGAGTCAGCCCACACAGGCAGGCTGCCTTGCTTTCAGAGAAGGCTTCACGTAGGCTTCCGAAGCCGTCTCGTCGTGTTGCTGCAGCCGTTCTCGGAGAGGCAGGGTTGCATACAGATGTCGAGAGTCAGCCCACACAGGCAGGCCGCCTTGTTTTTGGAGAACTCTTCAAGTGGGCCTCCGAAGCCGCCTCGTCGTGTTGCTGCAGCCGCTCTCGGAGAGGCAGGGTTGCATACCAGATGTCGAGAGTCAGCCCACACAGGCAGGCCGCCTTGCTTTCAGAGAAGGCTTCACGTAGGCTTCCGAAGCCGCCTCGTCGTGTTGCTGCAGCCGCTCTCGGAGAGGCAGGGTTGCATACCAGATGTCGAGAGTCAGCCAACACAGGCAGGCCGCCTTGTTTTCAGAGAACGCTTCAAGTGGGCCTCCGAAGCCGCCTCGTCGTGTTGCTGCAGCAGTTCTCGGAGAGGCAGGGTTGCATACCAGATGTCGAGAGTCAGCCCACACAGGCAGGCCGCCTTGCTTTCAGAGAAGGCTTCACGTAGGCTTCCGAAGCCGCCTCGTCGTGTTGCTGCAGCCGTTCTCGGAGAGGCAGGGTTGCATACCAGATGTCGAGAGTCAGCCAACACAGGCAGGCCGCCTTGTTTTCGGAGAACTCTTCAAGTGGGCCTCCGAAGCCACCTCGTCGTGTTGCTGCAGCAGTTCTCGGAGAGGCAGGGTTGCATACCAGATGTCGAGTGTCAGCCCATACAGGCAGGCCGCCTTGTTTTCAGAGAACGCTTCAAGTGGGCTTCCGAAGCCGCCTCGTCGTGTTGCTGCAGCCGTTTTCGGA